TATATATATATATGTATGTATGTATATAGTGCATACATTGTTTATGTCGTGTATGCACTACGTGTAAACCGCTGTATATGATATACATATATCTGTATATATACATATGTGTATGCATATGCATATATATGTGTACGTGACTTTTATTTGCATCACCACAAATCGGTCCATCGAAAAGACTTTCGTTGTTTCGCGTCGCATATTGCATACATCGTTAGAACAGGGAACCATCGGCATTCTTTTTTAATGCAAACGCCTCTCGTTGGCGAGGACAAAGAGTAATAATAATAATAATAATAATCGTACCGTCACTTCCCCGCGTCGGAGAACGAAGGAAAACACGGTCGATCGTTCCGTATCGGCAGTAGGGCATCATCGATCGTCCGACGATCGAAAGTAGTGCGAGACGAGGCTGGAGAAAGTGTGAGAGAGCTGAGCAGCGAAATCTCCGCTGCGTTGTCCTTTTGACGGTTATTTTACCACCGACGGCCGACTAGACAGACGTTCCTTTCCTGTTGTTTTCGATTTCCACCGGGGACCGCGAGAAATCAAAGAGGGCGCGCTTATTTGACGAGAGAACTGTCCTAATGTGTATATCTACGTTCATCCGTTCATATGACACGCGTATTAAACTATAAGTATACCGGCGAGTGCTAAGAGAGAGAGAGAGAGAGAGAGAGAAAGGGAGAGAGAGAGAGAGAACGAACGAACGAACGAACGAACGAACGAAAGTATATTGGAATGAAGAATTAGAGCAAAAAGGGAGAGTGCGAGCATTTATTTCGCGAATGAATTGTAATTACTATATATATATATATATATATGCACATATATATTATATATATATATACATAATTATATATACATATATATATGTATACATATAAACACATTTTGTAATTATACATAGAGTCCTTCAGGAAGAATTTGTACAAACGCTGGGGGGCAAGGTCCCAGCAAGTCTGTGATTTTAGCTTGGTTAATTCAGTATTTTTTTAAATAAAACGAGACAAAATCAAGATAAACGATAAAAAGAGGAGTCGGTGAGAGAGAAGGAAAGAGAAATACAAAGACAGAAAGACAAGAGGGCTCGCGAGAGAAGGGAGGAGAAAGTTCATGAAAGAGAGAGCGTATATGTCAGGTTGAAAGAGAATGTGTGTGTGTGTACATGTATGGTACGTGTGTGTGGGTGAGAAAAAGGTGCCGAGGCGGGGGAAGGCGGGAGGGTTAGATCTCGAAATTAAAATCTCGCGCGATGAATTTGCGCCGTTCCGCTAAGAATTTCTCCGTGTGATTTTGACGACTCGGGGAGAGCCACGCGCCATCCTACGCCTAGAATCGTTCCCGAGAGCAACGCGTCGTCTCGAGGATGATTCTTAGCCGACGCGACTTTTCGAGTAATTTTTTGCACGCCCACCGAGACGCTTGGTCCTTCCCTTCTTGCGGAACGCTGCAATTATCGGGAGATTATAATTACTCGGATCGTAATTGTGTCACCACCATCACCACCGCTGACGCGACGACGCATTCTCGCGCGAATGAAAGGAGCGTGACGTATCTCTCGCCTTTCGACGGCACCAGCGCGTTTCGCACCAACAAAGAAGAAGGCAGAGTGGAGAGAAAGAAGCGCTTCTCCGTCTCGTCGTCGCTAACCGTCAGCCAGCGACAGCCGTGAGATGATTAACCGTATTTTCGTCTTCCCGTTTCTATTATACCCATAGTGATACCAACGCGGAGGAAGAAGAAGCCGAAGGGGACGAACAATCGGTTAAGTCACACACGTACAGTTTGGGTCGTCGTCGCTGGGAAAGCGACTTGTATTCCGTTTTTCCAGCGACGAGACCGCGAGAATCGCACGCATTGTGTGCGATCCGGCTCTTTCGGGGACGCGCTTACGCCGCCTTTTTCTTCGTGCCTGCGTGCCATCGGTTACGAAATTATTCTCGGTGCGTCAGCTTTAATTTTACGCAGTCGTCGTGAATCACACGTTCCTCGTGTTTCTCGATAATCCAAAGTCCGTGCACGAGGTAGCAACACCGTCGCGTCACGCTCCGAACCTTGAGTCACCGCGTCGTCGCATCAATGACCCTTTCTCCCTTCATATGCACCCTCCGTAAAAGTTTTCTCCACCCTCGGCCGCGCGTGAGAGAGAGAGAGAGAAGGAATCGCAATGGCGTAAGAAACGGAGCTCGAGAGCCGGCTCTTCGCCGAGTGCTTTCCCTTTCTTCGGAAAAATCGTCTTTCCCTGGGTATATACCGACGAACGAAAGGGAGGAAGAGGTAGCGTATGTGTATATGTGTATGTGTGTGTGTACGAGTGGATGTGCGTGCGCGACCGCAAGTATAAGCACGTTGAAAGACGGCAGATCGCCGGTGAAGCGAAGTTGCCCGATGCGGCGGCAGTTGGTACCTAAGTGAGCGACGAAACGATCGGAAAACTCAAGAATAACAGCGTGAGAGGGAAGGAGAGGAGAGCGAGTGTGTGTATGTATGTGTGTGTGTGTGTGCACGCGTGAGAGAGAAGGATTAGGAGAGAGCGTGCGAAGGAAATACCCGACAGGAATGCTTAACTCGGGCGAGACGGGTCGCGGGTCCCGTGGTAATACATTTGTGATGACGAATTACTTATACGAATGCCGATTAGCGAGGTAGTGATTCTGTTTAGCATATCCGGGTTGCGATACACACAGGGAGGGAGGGCGAGAGACGATATTTAAGAGCGACCCAAGGTCTCAGCGAGCTCTGAATTCGGCGGCCCTGTTCGGGGGTGGCCAGTAATAGTGCACCGTTTCTGGAGAACGAAGGGAGTTGCAAGGGGGGGGGGGGCAAAGGGAGGAAAAGCAGCAAAGGGAAAAATCGGGAAGATCCACTCGTTCCTGCGCGTTGACTGCGAGCGAGACGCCACTCGATAAATTCTGTATAAAAATTCGCTTTACAAAAAAGTCTACACATACGCGTGTCCACGAGTACACATGTACACACTCGACTCGGAACACTATCACATACATGTTTACACATGTCGGATACACGAGACGTACAAACACATACGTACACACACACACACACACATAGACACACGAACCACACAACAGTTACACATACTCGAATCTGTAGACTCTCGTAGGTTACTATTAATTATAATGAATTATATCTTATATATATACATATATATATATTAATGTATAATTATATTTAGTTCTTAGGTTATGATGGCTATCATTTCCCGCTTGTACATATGCCGTGAGCTCGAAAAAATTAAATCTTTAACAAAGAATATCTATAATTTTTTCGACTGTTTTTGTACAGAGATAAAATAAAAACAAAAGGCCTCGTGCTTATGAAATTTCATGAATATAAAAAAAAAACACGTGTGTCGATTACTTCGCACATATCCCGATCACCCTGATCGAGCGAGCGCGCGAGAGCATACCTTTATATTTTGTCGTTCTTCGTTATTTACGATATAATGTTGCGAATATTTGCACAAATTCACGCATAGCCGCGCAAACAGCAATAAACATTACAAATGGTCCAGCGTTTGAAGCTGGACTGCACGTTTTAACGTTTCAAATTCACCCGGACGATTCGTCCGCACGTCAGGCTGCGCGCGCTCTACCGAAGCGGAACAGCTAATAAGTTTTAATACAATGCGAATAATAATCGGTAATGAGGTAACACGGTGCGTCAACGATTGCGAAGTTCCTCCTCACGGTGTCCGCGCGACAAGGCCGTCGACGATTTCGCGCGAATATTTCATTAGCGCCGATGCGTCATGCTTGTGTTTGCTGAATAAATACCGAAAAGAGATGACAAAATTTTACCCGGCTTCGACGGGTTTGTTCAACGCGCCGGCCAGGCGGTTATCGATTATTTATCCGTTAATTCCGGCGGAGCGAGCTGACGATTCGCGCGTCTCTCGCTGATTGTGCGCGCGCGCGGAAACGCTCGAGTGCACGCGCCGCGTTGTTTTTTCTTCCCTCCGTTTTTCTTTCTTTCTTCTGCACGTACGTATCTATCACCGGAACGCGAACGTATGCGAGAAATCGAGAGATCCTGCTCGGTCGCGCGAACACGTTCTGCCCCCCTCTCAGGCTTCCTGGCGTAATTATTCTCGGAAACCGCCCGCGATCGAGATAATTCGAGAATACACGTGTCTTAAGCGCGCACGGATCAATATTGTGCCACGTTATTCCTCGCAAACGTGCAATTTCGTCGTCGAGATAATGTTACCGAATGTGTTTCCGAGAACGAGTCGATAAGGATTCGCGAAATCGCCGCTTGTCATTCAGTATGAAAGAATAGCTGTGACGCAACAACAGTCCGCAAGATATATAGAATAACGATCTCTCTCTCTCTCTCGTGATGTGCTCTCTCAGATAATTCCCAGATATAATTCCTGCGAGTTCGCCGGCGAAGAATAAGACGATACGTGAGCGCGAAATTGCACGATCGCGCGTTCACCCGAGATATTGACTCGCTCCTGTGTATATTAAGTTGTACAGTATACTAGTGAGCCAACAAGGAGTGGGGGTGTTCGAAGAAAATGATGTATATACCTGGGTGTATCCTTATCATAGTATAAGTACATTTGTAGTACAAGTATATATTCGTCTATCCTTTTCTCCGGCAGGTCGCGGATTTCTATAGTTTAGTTTTCAGAGATTCTCTTGTATGCTACATAGAAAAGCATAGTCTTAAATCAGTGATATTTCCATGTGTAAGCAAGAATATTATAATATTCTTAGAAGATATTTAGTATTGAATTGAGTCCGAGTGACGTTCGCATCGATACGAATTCAATCGGATCAATAATCTAAAAGTCTTCCGAGAAGATTATAATATTCTTGCTTACATACGAGAACATCTATCATCGATTTAAGACTAATTTTGTTTTTTTCGTGCGTAGAGCTCAATGTTCTCGTAGTACCGTTGTTCTCGTACTTCCCCGATGTTTCCCCGGCGAATTAAGGGTTAATTGCGGTGCCGGTCGTGTTGCGCCAACAACAACATCGTCCATCGCGCGCGTTCCGAAAGACTCCGCTTGGCTCGCCTTGGCTCGCGAGTAAGATGAGAATTAGCCGCGAGGTTAATTGACGCTACTTGCCGCGACGATGGCTAATCGTCGGTGGTTGATACAATCGAGCCCAGTGGACTGGTTTCTTTGACGAATGCGAGAGTTTATATCGGGGTCTGTGTCGACGATACGGCGACTGCCGAGAGAAAAGGATGCTCGGCCGGCGGCGAGCGAATTCGACACGCGATTTTTGCGCAGTGCGATTTTTGCGCGCGAGTTCTTTCGTGAAATCGCCTGAGAAGGTTCAGGATGAATCACGGGGGATAGTAAAATGGCACGACGGTGACGCTTTGTACACGTCAACTGTCAACTTTATCACCGATGTGCGACTACACTGTGATGTAATAGCGGGGAACAATTTCGCCGTGACGATTTGCACACCGATTCTACACGAGAGTCGCCGCCGCCGCCGCGTTACCTGCCTCGTGAAGCCGTTTTCGTAGGAAAGAAAAAAAAATTCATGTTGAGAACATAGTTATTTTCAGTCGTAATTGTATTCTCTTCTTATTTAACTTAAGGACAAAGAGGTTGTTAATACATTGACTGTCGCGAATTGACTTCACTGATTGTACAAAAGTTTCGCTGATAATTGAGCTGTTAGAGATACAGTATGTAAATGTAACTTGATACGTATATCCTTTTTTACTTCGTTTTATTGACGAACATTCTGGTAGATACAATTAATTGTGGTTTATACGCAGAGAAAAAAGTGCTAGCACCAAGTAAACGCGATTACCTGTTTTTCAGCATCTCTAAATCAAATAATATTTTTATCAATTTAAGTACATTTTAATAGCTTGTAATGAATACTTATTTAAACGCAATAATATCGTAATTTATAAATGAATTACTGAATGTAAGTAAAATGATTCTAAATTTAAGAGTATTTACTAGAATTGCGTTATACTTCTTTTCCATTGAGGAAATCTGGTCGTTTTAAATTTAGATTTTTTATCCAGTAAATATAATAATAATATTTTCTAAAAATGTAAATTCTGATATTCTCAATACTTTGAATTCAATACTTGTCGGGATTTTTTTAACATAAAAGTAAATTTCTACTTATACGAAAAAAATATGTTGTATATAGTCAATTATATTTTTCTAGTTCTAATAAATATTTGCCAAGAAGTGTTTAAATAATTTATTTGAATCAAGCAAATATTACTCGAACGCACTCTCTCTTAGCACTTTTCTTCAGTATATGTAACTTAATAAGACGCGGTAGTATCATACCGAGACCAGTCACCGGCGACCATCATGGCATTCAACATATCATCAATAAAAAGCCGCAGGAGGCAAAGGTTGTTAAACGACAAAAAAAGTATACAAGGTTATTATCATCGAACCATAGCAGCATTCACTGGAAAAATGGTTTTTCCCGACCAATTTTTTCATCATATGTTATCATTATATGTGTCAGAAATGCCAAATCCCTCTTTTTCAGTATAAATCTCGCTCACGGTGTGGAAAGAGCTTTTGGATTAGGTCGCGGTCAGGCCAGATAGGCCGGGGTCCCTCTGCAAAGGGCACGAGTCGCGAACGTCGTCGTCGTCGTGTTCTCCGCGTTCGCGCAGAGACTTGGTTCAACAACCTGATCGGGCATGCTTAAGGTTTCCCGGGGTCTCTCTCGACGATGTGGGACAGATAGGAGGCGGTCTCGAGCGCGACCGGCGAAGAAGTCGAGGCGTGCGAAATGACGGCGAATTATTGTACCCGAGAAAGAGGAGAGCCCGGGGTAGGGAAACGCCGTCGTCGTCGTTGCTGCCGCCGCCCTCACCGTCACCACAGCCAGCCGCCGCAGCCACCGATGATGGTTGTCATGGAGGTCAACGTCGGTTGTTGCCCCGGCCCCTTGACGTCGCTTGGTCCTCGGTTAGTGGTCCTCTTGTAGGTTAGAATTGCCGATTCCATTCGGCATGAGCTCTCTCCCTCCTCGAACGCACCCCTGTCTCTCTCCCTTTCTCTCACCCCTTTCCTCGTTCTCTGTCTTTTTCTCTCTTTTTCCTCGTCATTGAATCATTTTCCACGCTGAAGAAGGAGATAATGACTAATGTGGGGGTTTGATTGTACCGAGAGAGAGAGAGAGAGATTCGCCGGTATAGTTTACTCACATCCTTACCACTCCCTTTTCCCTCTTTTCCTGCCTCTTCGTTCCTAGAGAGGAGCATCGTCCCTCTCTCTTTCTGTCTCTCTTTTCTCCCTCTTCTTTAACATCCTCTCTCGCTCCCTTCCCTCCCATCCTCTCTTTCTTCGAACTCCTCTCACTTCTCTTCCTCCTCCTCTTCTTGCGATTCTCCTCTCTCTCTCTCTCTCTCACCGTCTCTCACAGTCCCGGTCTCTCCCGTCCTGGACACATCCTCCTCCGTCAATCTCTTCCGCGCGACCTCTTCTTCCCCCGAGCTCGTTCCTCGTCGTGAGACTGTGTATCACACTTTGATGCCGGCCAACTACACGCGCCATTCGGCCACGTTGCGTAATGCCACGAAGAGTGATTGCCGCTAGTCGACCGGCACGACCGGCGAGCCGGGCCGAGCTCTCGATTCACGACGCGGTGAACGTCGCGATCTTTCGAGTGTTCAGCGAGAGAGGACGACTATAGGACGGGAGAGAATAGAGTCGCTGCTCGGTCTTGGGCGACACAACCTACCACGCGTCGACCGTGCGCGAACGATCATCTCGCGGCTCTTACTGAGACACCGCCGGATAGGTAATCGCGGGCTTACTTTGTCCCTTATTATTGCCCCACTAATACCCGCAGTCATTGTTGCTCGAGAAGCCTGTCGAGTTTCAACATGCGATTCAAAGTGGTGTTGTCTCACTACACTAATAGAAATTATAGCTATTCTCGATTATAATATTATATCCTTTTTTTTTTTTTTGGTTTTAACCGTAAAAATAATACGCATATAGAATTGTTATCGCTGACACTAAAGTAACATTTATTAGAAAAATGGTCTTCTTGACTATAATTCATTTGCTAGAGTTTACAGTTGTGATATATCTTAATTACAAATACCAAATATTTTTTTTGTAATGTACCCAGAGAAAAATATGTTTGCACCGCGAGAAAGAAGCGATTGCTTAGTTCATTTCTCTTCTTTCACGAATAACGGTTATCTTGAACTTGGAAAAAATCTTTTTTCTTTTATAATAGTGCTAAAATATATTTATCATAAATATTAGAAAAGCTCAATACCGCTTATTCAAAAACAGAATTTATTCTTTTTTCAAGAATATTATAAACTGTATTTTTTAAGTAACTTTAAGTCAACGAAAAGTTGACTTTACCTTAAAACTTCGCCTGAAAACTACTTTACCAGACATTTCGTACTTTATTTCGACACGCTTACTCAGATATAAACACCGAATATTCCCTAAAATATCTATTTTTTCTCGACCTCACCGTAATACTCTTTTATGTATACACAAAACGACGTGAAAACTTAACAGGACGCGACAAGATTCCGAACAATACAAGGAATCCTCGGGGTACCCAGTTATCCGAACATCCGGGCGATTTGAGAAATATCCGGGTGATGCCTGAAAGACTCGAACACGCCGGGTTACCCAGAACCGACAGCACTAATGCTAAGTGAACGGTGCGAACGGCGGCGGTCGATACCAAAGGGCCAGAGGCTCTTTTTTCTCCGCGTCTTCCGTCATTAGCGAGGACCTCGATTCTCGCTGTTTTTCGTCGATGCCAAAGGCGAGTCTTAATTGCACTTATCGATCGCCGCGTCCAGGGGGAACAAGGTCCCCTTTTCTTGCCGTTCATCTTCTCCTCCTCCGACACTCCGGCTCCCCTTTCGCTCGCTCGATCACTCGCTCCGCCTCTTATCATCGAACAACGGCGAGCCTCCGTCACTTTTTTCTCGCTCTCCGTTGTACACATTTCGCCTTGGGATGCGGTGTATTGTCCCACATCGAGTGCGCTCCGCTCGTCGGACGCGACGTCGTTTTTGCCGGGCAACGCCGAGGAGCGCGCGCGCTCGTCCGCGAGAATCCCTCCGTGGAATAATCGAGCGCGTCTGGATTCACGCCGAAACGCTTGCAAAACCCGGACGGAGAGCCCGAACGTTTATTTACGTATGCGCCGAACGGCCGATCCGCCGTCTTGGTGCGAACGTGTAAATATTATTTAAGAACTTCCCTCCCCCCTGCTGAAGATCCCGTTATGAAACGGCGCGGAATTGGCAAGTTTTAATTGCCTCGCGCCCGTATTCGCGGCTTAATCGAGCGGAACGCCGCTTTATGAGAAGTCCTCGAGAAGTTCGGGCGCGCTCTCGCGAACATGAAATTCGCCGCGTTTCCAATTACGGACGGCCAGGGGGGGAGGGTGCATCGTGCGTGCAGCGTGAACCTCGTTCCACCCCCCCCCCCCCCCCCCCCCC